GAGTTATTTTATTGCCTGAATCCTCTCGTTTGCCGTTAAGTCTCGAGGGAGAATCACTCCCCTAGCTATTCCAACTGCCACATTCGCATCCTCCATCAGTGAGTCACGAATAGTGATCTCCTTCCCTTTTGCCTTCAAGATTGGATGGAAAAAGGAATCACTCGCTTGGGAATCACAGAAGGATATAATGCTAAAATCCACAATCTCTTTGTGGCACAGTCCTCAAAAGAGACAAAAGCTATATCTTCTCTAGAAGATTTAGAGGTGTAATAAGCAAGAAAATCATAAGATTTGGGGATCTCAGGTTGAGGAGGGGAACTCGAAAGTCTTGGGTCATTTTGGATAAATACTTGAACAATGGGGATTATGGAGTCATCCGGAATAGTCATTGGCTCAATCTCGATTTGACTTTGCCAAGCTAGTCCATCAGAGGTCAAGGAGTCTTAAGACGGAGTAGGAGTATGCTCGAAAGTATCAACATGAGACAAGAAGTCAAGGAAATTCCTCTCTAGCCTGTTCATGTCGAAAAACAGTAGGGATAGATTTCTTATGAGAACGAGGAGTTTGAGCTTGCACAGCTTAGAGAGCTTCATGGTCAACAACGAGAGTGGTGTTAGGGGCAGTTAGGAACAACAATAAAGGAGGTGTAAGTTGGAGCATAGCCTAGCAGCACACAAGCAGCTCAACAAAAAAGGTTATCGTTGAAAGACCATACCCTCTTCAGTTCCTCCATCTTCACAGAATGTTTTGAGATCTTCCCTTTAACAATCTCACCCACAAAAAGATTCCATGTAAGAGAAAAATATTGAACAATGCATGAAAAAAAAGGGAGAGAGACAGCCCAGTAGCATAACTTCAATTACCTGGTACGCCTTCTTCAAAGGGTTATCTTTAGGAAGGACATTCACCAGCTTTGTACTCCCAATTCCCAGAAACATAGATCATATTGTTCTCATGACCTTTATTTGAGTCTAGCAAATGGGTCACTAAGTAGCGACCCTCCTCCTGACTGCAAGATAGTAGTTGTCCCCCTGCTAGTTTAATGATATAGTAGTAAAGGACTAGGCTCAATCCTAGGAGATCATTGAGTGCTGTGACCCCCATCACTATTTTGAAAAAGTTAGGGCAGCACTGGATGGGGCAAAGCTTCAACAAGGAAAGGACCCATAGAAGAAGAGGATGAAATGGAAATCGTATACCACCCTCAGTAATGGAGCTGGTATAAATGGGGATAGATTCTTTGGTCCCAATCAAAGGTTCATCTATTCCAGCTACGCGAACTTCTACATCATCAGGGATGTTGTATTTGACTCTAAAATTTGGAATTTTTGGAGTTGTAAAAGGAGCCATTTAAGAAAGACAGCAGAAAATCCCAACAATGGAGCAAGGGGCAGAAGAAAATTTTCAGAAAATGAGAAGATTTGAAGAATGGAGGCAAATAAAAGATGCTAAGGAACCCCTTTTTAAAGGAGATGAATAACTACCAACGGAAGCAACACCTGAATACCGAAGGAGAGAGCATTAAATGGAAGGTACAATTTCAAACTAAGACAAGAGGGATGTATGGCTTAAGAAACCAGGTAATCATCAATAGTGGTATATGAAACGACCGCCAGATGTATGCAACATGGTGTATGTTTCCTAGGGGCAAGTGAAGGGGCATGATATTATGACCATGTATCTTAGTGTAATGATTTGCGCATGTAACAAGATTATGTGTGCATTTAAGATATTGATGGCTCAAAGTAGTGGCAAGACAAGACCGAGTTAATTGAGGTCAAGTCAAGAATAAATGACCATTTACTAGGCATGCTCGGTTGGTTAGGCCAAGCTTGACTAAGATTTGAACAGCTCGGGCAGTGTTAAGGTATGCTCAATTAACTAGGTCGAGAATTGTTAAGTTGTGAATAGATTGGTCCGAGTTAAGCGAAGTAATTATCGATCATTCAGAAAATTGAATGGATAAGATAAGTAAGTTGCTAAAGTAATGGCAAATCATCGTTACTGAATCCCAAAACACTAGCTGATTACAGAATGTTAGAGAGATTTCGGTAAGGTATAACCAAAAGTCTGACGTAATGGGGGTATACCACCTCACATTGCAAGCAGAAGGAACCCTAAAGCAAAAAGGCTGAGGAATCTTATAAAAGGTACTGATAAGGTTCAAGAGAGGGACGCACAGTTTTCCCTATTGTGTCCTTTGTCTCTATCCGCTACTGACTTATGTATAGAAATGCCTTCGATCGGTCCACTCCGGTCCTTGGCAGTTTATTCATTTTGTAAGGGGAATTGCATAACATACACATAGTTCAACCAAAAATCAGATCCTATTGTAAGAGGTAATCTTTTTACCTCTTACATTAGTAATATTGCTTTTTCAAACCATCCCTGTTAGTTAGTTTAGTCATCTGAAAACTTTAAGAGACTAATTGTTAAAATTAAAATTAGAGGTAATTAATTGCAATATGACTTAAAATTGAACGGGGCAAATTATAATCAACCCATAATTTTAAGGGAACTCAGGTGACATGTACAAAGTGATCACTTTTAAGGTGAGATGTCCGCCTTGAACACTTTTAAGGCGAAATGTTCATAAAATACATAGTTGACAAAAATATCCTTAATAAAAGAGGTTATTTAAAAACTTCCGTCATAGCCCACCACCACCAACTCCCTACCCCCTACTCCCTACACCAACCGATGGTGAACTACACAGTAGTGTACTCAATGAAAATGAACTAAGAAGCTTAATGTGATTTGTTATATATTGTGTATTGAAGAGGAGCTAAATTTTTTAGTTCACTGTCGGGGGCAGGGTGGTGGTGTTGGTGGTGGTGGATTTCTATGTAAGAAGAGCTAGATTCACTCACGAGAAAGACAATGGCTCTTTCTTGGGTAAAGTGCAAGGCACAATGGTAAATATTGTCCTATTAAAAAAAGATAAAAATTAGTTTACACCTCTCGCCTTAAAAATTCAGTTGAGTTGGACCTCACGCCTTAAAAAATACAAGCCTAGACTTATTTATATATCAAGTACCAACTTTATAGTTTTCAACAATTTTCTCTATTGTTCAAATAAAAAAAATTAATTTTCAATAATTTTAAAATTGAAAGGTCATATATGTAATAATAGGAAACTGATGTTGCTTTTTCATTTGTGTTGAGCTATGAGTGTAGATGACCAATTAAATGAGTTGTCAATTATCATTTACAGTAATCAGATTATAGTGTGTCTACTTCGTATATTAGACATGAGATTAATCAACTATGTTATTGTTTCATTGTAATTTTGTTTTTTTTTCCCTGATTCATTGTAATTTTCTTCAGTTATTTGGCTAAGACTGTAGGCTCTGATTTCAAGGACGGCTCTACGTGGAAAGCGTTACATGAGTAATTTGGGCTCTTTGTTAAAGAATGAAAGGTATTCTACAAATATAGAGATAGAACTTACGGGTGAACACCTTATTTATTTCAAATTGAGGAATGTTCTTGACCTCTGAAGCATAGACCAATATTATCAAGTTTGAACAGTATTTTGTATTGCAATATGTTAAAGGTAAGCTTATGGTTCCATTCTGCCATGTTAGTTTCATTTTTTTCTGCCAGATGCTATGTTATTCATCATTAGAAGTTGAGACTTCTAATTCCCTTAAATTGGAATTGTGAATTATGATTTTATTTATTGCCTAAAATGTTCCACGTGTAGTGCGCGTGTACAACAACTAGTAACTACGTAAAAAAGATTCTAATTTGTTATGAATTTATTGACTTTGTTGCTCATTTGAAATTTCTTGTTATAAATAATCACAATACCTTGTATAATCCACAAAATGGAGGAGTAAAAGTTAACCATTTGATCTTACAAATCAAACATTAGTAAAGTTGTGTCCGAGTAGGTGAAAATTTGTTCACCCCTTATGTACCATTTTGAGTCGAGTTTCAATAATCGATATGATACTCTTCTCTCTTTTTTATTAATGAGTGGACTAAATATTTCATTGCATATTGAAATAAACTCTGGCAAAACAACCTAAGTTTAGACATTTTGAATTAAAATTTTTGATTTTTTTAATATCTACAATGAAAGTTCATGTTGATTCCAAAAACTGTTCACTGTGGTGGATGACTAGAGTTGTGACTTGGCGATCGGCGGGACTATTCCTACAAGAGAAGTCGAGGAACCGGGGATTCCAGTGGTCGATATTTCAATAATAAAGTAAAAAAAGATGCTGAGAGTAATCAATTTACTTGGATAATGCTCAGCTTGGCCTTTTTATAGGTCAAAAGATTAGACCGTTGGAAAATCCTCATCAATTATTTGAATGAGGTGACACTAAAAGTGGAACAGAAGATGACGCCTTCTAACGTGAATAACTCAACTGGCTTGAATTGATCAAACTATGTCGAACTAAGAAGTTGTCGAGTTAGAACGTTAGCGAGCAATGAGTCGAGGGCCTTTCCGAGCCATGGAGCTCCTCCTCTAAGCAACAAAGTTTCTCTGTTGAGCTTGTGCTTAATTTATCATTATCAATTTACATATTATACATGTGCATGATCTATCGCATAAATAATTGTTCACCAAATTTGTACTTCCTGGATACGAGGTGTCAGACAAACTATTCTTGTTTTGTTAAATAAAACGACTTTTTTTTGCACAAAATAATATCTATTTTGCTAATAACACATTTACAGTAAAAATTAATAATAGATGAGCTGGATCCGCAATCCCCAAATCCCCACAATTTGGAAGTTTGGATAAAATTTTAGCAAGAAAAATGTTAAATAAATTAAAAAAATTAATAATTTAAAAACTTGAATTCATGAATTAGGTTAATCGTTTAGTCCTTTTCCTATTCTAACTATAATTAGCTCTCTCTCTCACTCTGCGTTTCCGTCTGTATAAAACGCTTCATTTCCTCGTTTTACTCTTTCTATTCTCTCCAATCTCTCTGCATAGACACATATACATACATATATTTTCTGTCTCTATCATCATCGTCATGGCAATGAACAATGGATCATCAGCATCATCAAAAGGTCTGATCGTGAGCTTTGGTGAGATGTTGATCGACTTCGTCCCACAGTCTCCGGTGTATCACTCGCTGAAGCACCAGGCTTTCTCAAAGCCCCAGGCGGTGCTCCGGCGAACGTGGCTATAGCCGTGACTCGGCTAGGTGGTAGAGCCGCCTTTGTCGGCAAGCTCGGCGACTACGAGTTCGGTCACATGCTCGCAGGTATACTGAAAGAGAATGGTGTTTCCGGCGATGGGATCAACTTCGACAAAGGTGCGAGGACTGCTCTGGCGTTCGTGACTCTACGTGCTGACGGTGAGCGTGAGTTCATGTTCTACAGGAACCCCAGTGCCGACATGCTGTTAACGCCGGAGGAATTAAATCTTGAGCTTATTAGATCTGTAAGTATTTGTCACAGACTATCATTTATGAATTTGGGGATAAGTCGAAAATTCTTTTTACCGTATTATAAAATATAATTTATAAAAATCTACCCTCCAACTACGATGAGGACCCATCATCTAATAACCAATTTTTTTAGAGGTCATAGCCCAAATTTTGTATAACAAAAAATTAATTTAAAATTTTAATTTGATGATGTGACTATTATATTTATTATTGATTTAAATATAAATTCTAATATTTATTATGACATATTACCTATTTAATTGTAATGTTTGTTTAAGTTTGGTTTTTATGACAAAATTTTAGGCTCTATTTGAATGGCGGTAATTTTAGTTAGGAATGCTAATTTCATTCCTAAATCTATGAATTGCCAAACTGATGAGTCGATACTTTATAGCGGGAATAAAATTGCCATTGAAATCAAATTTTCAATGACGATGAGAATCTTAAATCCACCATCAAGGATAGTAATCTCATGCCCAACTTAATTGGGTATTCAAAAAAAAAAAAATCAAATTCAAAGCCTTTCAAAAATTTAGTTTATTGCTAAAGCTAAGCTATCTTTTTAAAATCATGTTTCTTCCTAAAATAAAGTTCATTGCTAAAAACAATAATGAAATAGATATTCATTCATATACTAAATTATTAACGACATTAAATACTAAATAAAATATTATTACAATTTTTTAAATTCAGGTATCAGTTTATCAAAAATGAGATGCTTAGTTTCGATTAGGATTACTATCATCCAAACGGGATGTAGTCTATTTTACATTTTTTTTTTATCTTAAATACATTTAAATCACATATTCTGTTGTGGGGCCCAAAAAATTAATTTTTTCAATTAGTCTGTGGTGCAAATTTATTTACAATATAAAATTTGAGCTAAGACTTGGGCTGCATAGTATTTTTAATATCGTGAAGTATTTAATTATTTTGTCATAAATATATGGTAATGCCATGGAGATAGGAAACGTTGAGGGAATTTTGACTCAGTCAATCACGGTTTGCCTTCTTTCGAGAGCACGACAACTATTACCCTCCCCCCCCCCCCCCCCCCCCAAAAAAATTATAGTTAAAGTTGTAACTGTATAAGCCTTTTTTTAATTGCTCTAAAAAATCTTAGATTGATTCTAAAATATAAAGATTAATTCTGGAATTTAGAATTATAATTGAATTGGATGTATATATATATATATCTCTGGCGTGTGTGTGTGTGCAGGTGTGTGTTTTTTTTTTTACTTTTTAAATCGATTGTTTGATATATAAAATTTGAATAAAATTTAAAAGTGTTTGATGAAATTTTTAAAAGATCTTTATTTAGATTTGTGAATTTTGGATGATTTTTCTATTTCGATTTTGTGATGTTGAATGTCTGATTGAATTAAATGAAGTTCAATCCGTATTGTTTTTCTTTTGTTTCAGTGATTTCAACCGAACCTAACAAAAAAAAATTTGGTATATATATTATTTGGATTTCGATGATCCTTTTTACCAAACAACAAATGTGCCATAAAATATGTGAATGTCAAATGTAGTGATTCTCGTAATAAATAAAAAAATGGCATAATCAGTTCAATTTAGAGAACAAAAAATGTTAAATGAGTTAGATTTAGTCACTTAAAAAAGTCCTTACTTGAATTAATTGACAAAATAGGGTTTTTTTTTAATGGTAATTGACAAAATAGGTCATTAAAATAGACTTAAGAAAAATTCTCACTAAAAAGTACTACTTATGAATTTTTAAAATTTTTTACCAAATCTTATTTTTCCTTTCAGTACCATAGTACCTTTCTAAGGACATATGTCCCTACATGAGAAAATAGTCCCTACATATGTGCCTACATAGGACATTTCTAAGGACATATGTCCCTACATACCCTTTTGACAGCGACTATGCGTTTTCTAAGGACATATGTCCCTTCAAAAGAAGTGTCGGTTTGTATTTTTTATATCTTTATTTATTTTTATAATCTCGATGTGCCACCGCTGCTACGCCACAAATACCTTCCATAATTCACTCAAAAAAATTGAAGTATCTATGCATGCTCACCATTTTATTTAATTTCCTTTTGTTAAAAGAATCAGTACCTTAAATAGTTATTTAAGTATTATTTTAATTAAAGGTATTTTGCCAAGTGCTGATTTTATGGATTTTTTATCTTAAAAATATTTAGGCAAGCCCAAAAAAATCTAAATGTGGACTTTTGGCTTGTTTTCCTTTTTTTTTTTTTAATCTAATCAAAAATAGTAAATAAACTCAAAAAATGAGTGCACCTAAAAAATTAATAAATTCTAGGAAAAATTTCAACTACACCCCTCTTAGTTTATTATATATTCAAGGACACCTTATCTGTTATCAAAAACATTACTGACACTCATTCTAGTTTATATTTAAACTTCACCAACACTCCTACCATTAAAAATATCATTTCTAACAAAAAAAAAATCATCTAAAATACAAAAAAATGCCCCTACATCAACATCAAGTAATTTTTCTAGATAAAATTTTATAAAATTCTAACTGATTAAAAATTTATTTTTCTCCATATTAAAATTTGAAATCAATTAAAATTCGATTAAAGCTGATTAAATTTTATTTTTTTTATAACGTCATTAAAATTGAGGTTATTAAAATTATATTTTTTACATATTAAAATTTGAGTTGATTTAA